TCAGGTAAGGGAAGCAGGCCTGGCAGTTGGTGGCTCAGAAGGCTTTGGCATTGCTATGTATCATGGATTTTTTTCATAGAAAGGTCAGGATTCAGGCACTGACAAATCTCACCTTTTTCCTGACTCTCCTGTCACTCTCTTAGTCTGGCAATGGGAGCAAAAGCCATCTGCTTATCCGGACTTAGCTTTCTGCAAGTCTTCAACAAGTAATGGGTTTTCCTTCTGGAGGACCTGAAAGAGCTTCTCTTGGGCCTTGGGCCCTTTTTTCTCAACTAGGTCCAGCAAACATCGATTCTTTTTTTGGTTTGTATTTTGAGCTTGCACCTCCTCTTCTTCTTCACTGTTGATCACACCTTGAGAGTTTAAATTTACTAGAATGGAGGTGTTCAGCCGCATCCTGGAACAAAGCTGTCTCTTGTGCTTCTTCAGGAAGGCTGCACCTAGCAGATACCAAAGCCTGTGTTACTGTGCTGTACTTGACAAGGCAGGTTGGTTCCTGCTGTGGTACTCTGCATCCCAGCCAACACACCCAAGAGCTGTTTGCTCTGTCCCTCAGCCACGTGCTCCCATTCCCTCCACTGCACCAGCAGTGCTGCTCTCTAGCCAGGAGGCTGAGCCACCAGAAGAAAGCTCCCTCATCAGCTGTGGAAGCATTGGAGCCATGACAAGGACAGAGCCAGAGCTGAGGGAGGTCAGGTTGGTGACAGCCCAGGGACTGTCCCTTCCAGTGACCCTATAGTATTTGAAGCAAGTGGGAAGCACTGGCTCTGTGATAAGGTATGAGATGCTCCAACTCTACCAGTTACTGAAAGTCCCATGAAATATTTCTGGGCTGTGAAGTGTATTATCTGTAGCTCATTCTCTATAAAAAAAGATCATCTTTCTCTGGTGACAAAGAAGCCAGAAGATTGAAAACCCCCAATAAATATTCAGACTCAATAAATGCAGCTCTGAAAACCTGTACTGACCTGAAGGGATCTTAGAGACATTTCTAGAAAGACTAATATCACCTGAAAGAGAAAGGAGGGAGATTATGAAATACACCATAAACGTAATGCAAACCCCTTCCAAAATTCCTCTTGAGATGCCTGATCTTCCATGGATCCATTAGCCATTATATCCTGCTTACAGTATTTCTTGCCATCTGTTGAGAACTCAGCTAAGTGGGGCCAGGGTTGTGTACATTTGTAAGTGTTAGTTTAGCGATCCAGAATTAGCCGAACAATGAAACGATCCCAAGGCACAGTACCATGCCCTGCGCTCAGAGTATCTGAGTATCTGTTTTCGCTGTCACAAGAAGTGCAGCTCAGTGTCCCATTATCATATTTCCCCTTACAGATGGATCTGATCCTACCTGATCTCAGCGATGCCCTCCAGATGACAGTGTCATTCTGTCCATCTGTAATAAGGAATTCCATTTCCTCTGCCATTTTCCTGATGTAGATCTCAACAAAGAGCTGTTGTTCTTCTGGACTCTTGTAGCAAAATGGCAAGTGTGGCTGTAGAGATAAGAAAGAAGTTGGGTCTCACCCTGTGGAGCTGTGAATTTAGACACATCATCCCATGTTTCCTGGCCACGCAGAAAAGAAGAAAAAAGTGCCAGAGGAAAGGAACTCTGGTGTGTCTCATCTGTTGTCCTTCACACAGAGGGAGTATGTTGTCAACTGTAGAGGGGCTCAGCCTTGGTTTGGTCTACCAGAATACTGAAAGCCTTAAAGAGCTGAGATTTTACCACCATTCTAACGTTCTCTGAGTGTTGCACAATGACTGCAGTTTGGAGAACATGACATGCAAGCAGAGGCAGAGGGACAGGGTTTGTTCGTCTTGGAGAAAAAAAGGCAAAGGAAAGATCTAATTACCATTTTCAAATGTGTAAAAGGGGGTTAAACTAATGATAGAGGCTCTTGGAAGTGTATAGTGATGAGACGAGGCAACGTGCAGAGGCTGACACAAGGGAAATTCTGATCTGATAACAGGAAATAGATCATCACAATGCTGAACTGGAGGCCCAGAGAAGCTGTGCTACTTTCTGTTTCACTCAAAAATGTAATAATAAAATGGGAACTGTCCCACTTACTTCAGGCGTAATCTTCACTTGAGTGTTACTGGACACCTGGTATCTGTTGCCTAAGAACAGAGGGCTAAATGGAGGAGGCTTGGGAATAAGCTTTGAGTTCCAGCTCGTCTCTTGTCTTTCAATGGCCTGTAAACATCAAGAATCACTTTTGAGAGTTGAAAAAAAGAG